AGCCTAGCCCAGCTCCACAGACCCCTGCCAGCCTGTGCCCTGCTTTGGGCCCCACCGGTGCTGGCCCTGGGACATTGGTCCCAAGACATTGGGACGTTGGTCCCAAGATGGTGATGAGGGGGCGGGGCACCTGTCAAGGGATGGGGCTACCCATGCAGCCCTCAACAGCCTGCCAAAACTGGGTAAGTGGCCTTCCGCCCGAAAGAATTGGCTGCTGCTGGCTTACATGTTCAGCTACTTGAGGACCGGAAGAATTAACATGTGATTTTTGTGGCTACTAACAACTGAGAGACACATGGCAACATCTGAATTCTAACAAAGCCATAGAATAAAAAACTGTGAAGATGCATTGAATTCAAATACTGAATGAACGGAATGAATCCCCGGACGCGAGGGGATCGCCTTCAGACCTCAGGTTGGGGAGGACCGGGTTAGAGAGCTTCTGGAGGGGCTGGACGCGTTCAAGTCAGCGGGTCCGGATGCTCTCCACCCCAGGGTGCTGAGGGAGCTGGCTGGGGTTATTGCAGGGCCCCTGGCACGGCTCTACGAGCGATCGTGGTGCTTGGGCCAGGTGCCAGACGATTGGAAGGTAGCTAATGTGGTCCCCATCTTCAAAAAAGGGAAAAGGGAGGACCCGGGCAATTATAGGCCCGTCAGTCTTACCTCAATCCTGGGGAAGCTCTTTGAGAAGATCATCAAGGAGCACATTTGTGATGGGCCGGCATCCGAGATGATGCTCAGGGGCAATCAGCATGGATTTATTAGGGGGAGATCATGTCAGACCAACCTGATTGCCTTTTATGATCAGGTCACAAAGGCCATGGACGCAGGTGTCGCGGTGGATGTAGTCTTTCTGGACTTCAGCAAGGCCTTTGACACCGTCTCTCACCCCATCCTAATTAATAAACTAGGCGACTGTGGCATAGATGCCTACACAGTCAGATGGATTGCAGATTGGCTGAAGGGTCGCACTCAGAGGGTGGTGGTGGATGGATCATACCTGACTTGGGGGGAGGTGGGTAGTGGAGTCCCCCAGGGCTCGGTCCTGGGGCCTGCGCTGTTCAATTTCTTCATCAGCGATCTTGATGTTGGGGTGGAAAGCAACCTGTTTAAATTCGCTGATGACACCAAAATTTGGGGGGAGGTGAGCACGCTAGCAGGGAGAGAGAGATTGCAGAAGGATCTGGATAGGTTACAGGGGTGGGCAAACAGGAACAGGATGTGTTTCAATACGGACAAGTGCAGGGTGCTGCACTTGGGTAGTAGGAACCAGCAGCACACTTATACGATGGGGAGCTCCCTACTTGAGAGCACGGAGGCGGAAAGGGATCTTGGTGTCATTATTGACTCCAAGATGAACATGGGCCGACAATGCGAGGTCATGGTTGGCAGGGCTAACCGGACCTTGTCGTGCATCCACAGGTGCATCTCGAGTAGAGCCAGGGAGGTGATCCTCCCCCTCTATGCGACGCTGGTCAGGCCGCAGCTGGAGTATTGTGTCCAGTTCTGTGCGCCCCATTTCAGGAGGGATGTGGACAACA